TAATTTATATGTATGTAATATATATGTTTATCTCAATTTACACAGCTTTCAGAGTTTAACAGAAAACTCGCTGCACCAAATTCAAATGTCTCCCAAAAATTTCCACACCTGCATATGCAAAAATATTTCCACATGACACATTTTCTCTAAAATGCACTTTACACTTGTTGTTGCTGTTGTTATTGCTTTATTTTATTCTTATTTTTTCTTTTCTTCCACTTTTACAACTTAATTTTAGTTATTTTCGTCGCAATTATTTTGTCTCTGACGTTTGTTTGCTTTTGTTGTTGGTCTTGTTGCTGCTTTTGCTGTTGTTGTTACAGTTTTCCTTGTCTGCATTTTCTGTTCATTGTGTGGCTGTTGTTTGTGTTGTCTTTTTACCTGTTTCTCTGTTGGCTTAGTTTTTCTGTAGGCATCAATCGCTCGCGTGGGTGGCCATTGTTTTCCCTTTTTGTAAATATATATGTTTTTGATCACGTGTTTAGTGTATTTTTTTTTATTTGGTTTCTTTTTTGTAGTCTTTCTTCAATGTCAACAAGTTTATTTGCATTTTCGCTCAATGCACAATCAGTTTATAGAAATGTCTTAACGGGGCTTCCAATCGAAGGTCAATTTATTGGGGGTTTAGGAGATTTAATTAAATCTTGATTAACAGTTTTTACCATGTTTGGTCTATTGTAACTTGACTCTATATATGTATATAGTTTGCTATATTTAAATCTTACTTTATTCTAACATATATTTTCTTAATCTCTTACAGCTCCGGCCGCAGGCAAATAAGTTCCAATGCCTTAGCCAGGTAAATAACAAAAAATAAGAACCATAAATTCGATTGTATATTAATTCAGTTTGACAGCCACTGTGCTACACTAACTGCTCAGCAGCCAATGCACAAATCTCATTGCTGTGTGTCTTGGCTAAACACAGTTTGTGAAGCATAGTCACTTACAGTTGAAATGCCATTATGGTAAGGTTTGTGTCTGTGCTAAACGAAGCGCTTCAAGTTTATAGTTGAGTGTGGGCAATTTATAAGTAAATTTAGTAAAGACACAAATCATGCCGAGGCATTCACAATAGTCGCAGCTATAAACATTTATAAAATTCATTTACTCATTAGAGTTAAGCGTTAAATTTACAATTTCATTGAATTCAAAATTCATTTGCTGAAATATTTTCCCATTTCAATTGATTTCTTTTCGATTTGCAGCCAATTGTACAGATCATCGAGTTTCAACTCTTCCGGCCGTAGCTCTAACTGTGATACAACTGAGGATATGTACAGCGATATAAGCCTCGAAAATCGTCATGATTACGATTATAGGGTAAGTTTGAATTGCAATAGATTTGCAGTAAATAGAAACGAAAAGTAAAATTTTGATAAATAGTCAAAAGGCGAATGAAAAGATTTGTTGAATAAGTTATTGAGTTAAAATATATGTTGAAAATATGGGAAAAGCGCTTGAGATGAGTTAAAAAAAAATGTAGGCGTATGCTTAAAGGGTGTTTAAAAACGATATATTTCAATACGTTTTTAATATTTATTGTAAATTAAAATATTTTAAACAAACTTTAGTAGCTTGAGTTTAATCATGACATAAAAAATTAAATTCGTTACGAATTATAAGAACTTAAAATTATATTATTATATTTTTAATTGATTTTATGACTTAATTTACAATTTTTTTCTTGCGCTTTAATCATAAAGAAGCTTTCAATATTTCTAGATTTAAGAAATTAATTAAAATATATTCATGGAAATTGTAAACTTTAATAACTAAGAGCTAGAGTATATTTCAACTAGTTTCTCAGTCTTCAAGTTGACTTTAAATATGTATTAAACAAACTTTCGTTTCTTAAGCTCAATTTGTTCGGTTTTTTGTTGTCAAATTGCTCACTGAATTCTTTTGCAATTTATCTTGCACAAAACAGTTACAATAACTAAAAAAAAAATAAAATAAATAAATAAATGTTAAAACCCAAGTTACAAATATTTGCAAGCTCACAAATCTTGAGCTCTCGCATGATGTGGCACAAACATTGATATCGCATAGCTAAAGATCTGTGAGGTGGGGGCAGAGCTTTCAATGTCTCTTTGAAGTCGAGCGTTGATCGCTTTGGCATAACGAAACCCTCGATGAGAAGCGAATTTTGCACTTGATCAGCGACAGTGAGAAAAGTGTTGACAGACAGTTTTAGAGGACGATCGAACGAGTGAGCGACTGAGCGAGCAAGCTGCCAATTTGGCCATTTGGCTCATTCATTAACGCCAAATTCCAATTCAGTTAACGTGACTGCAAATGCGACTTGCGGCTTTTCACTGAAATTCGCCCGCTACAAACGAGTTTTCGCTCGTCTTTGTCTTTTTGGTGGGTCTATTAGATGCCAGGCAGGTGAAACTTTATTTGGTGTGGGTTGTATTTGGTGCCCCCTACACTGTAGCTGCTGCCTGTTGTTATATAAACTGCATTCAGAGTGAGTGCAACGACGCCTCAAGGTCATTGAAATCGACTCGAATCGCAATCGAACATTTGTTGTGGAAACTTTTCGTTGCAGACCCAGTTGCCAATTTGCTGAACTCTGTCTCGCCAGCCAATGGACCACAATGAAAACCTTTTCACTTAACTGTATATCAGCTCGTTTTTCCCACTCTCTATCAAATCTCTTGCCATCACTGGACAACCAATACATCTTGTTGAGTTTTATTGACCCATCATATTTGGCAATTACTTTTGATCCTCACTAAATGGCTCTTACGATTGCTACTAATCTTTTCAATAGGCAGGAAGTTGCTTTGCTTTGACTAAACTTTAATTGAATCATTTAACTTTTCGCCCATAAAAGGTGTTACTACTTTTTCTTTAGTCTCGTAGTTTTAATTAACACTTTTCACGAATGCCTAAATGATGGCAAATGGTTACGTAAACGGGTTGTATTGACTTTTATTTTAATGATTTATGTTGCTATTTTATTAAAATGATGTATAGATTTTTTTCAATTTAAAAAACATTAAAGACATTTTATAGTATTTTAAACGGAATTTAATGTTTTCTTTTTGCCATTTTGTTCAACGAAAACTCTGTCCGTGAAAACATTAAGGTATTTAAACTGAATAACGAATATTCCGCTCAGATGCGAGATATCCGGCAGGGACTCACTTAATACGGAGTTCAATTGGACAGAGATACAGAGAGAGACAAAGAGAAATTCTGTTTTTATGCAAATTCGTGTTGAGTTGGTCAAGCGACAGGTGTAAATTATAAACTGAAAATTGTTTTTACCTGTCGCTGTGGCTACTGCTGCGCGTAATTATTTGTAAATTTGTAAACCAACAAAAAAAAAAAAGAAAACAGAAGTAAATAAAAGGAGTTAAAGACAACAACTGCAAACGACACAAAAGAGACAAGTTGAATGGAAAATGAAAGGTGAACGAGCACACAAAATACACACACATGGAAAAATAAGAAAATTCCTCTGCGCAGGAAAAAACAAAAATAAAATGCAAAAAGAAAAGAGAAAGAGTGAAATGGCAAACGAAAGAAATGGTTTTCGCAAAAATATCACGTACGAATCATTTGAAGACCTTTGATTGTTCTTTTATGCAACAGGCCGAACGGGAAACGGAAATGCCGCGCTGAAACAGGAGCTCTAGCTGAAGCGAGAGCCCAGCGGACGGCAGGTGGGTGGGTGGGTCAGGGCGGTGCAAATCATTTGCAATGCGAAATGAATGCCGACGTGGGGCCATCGTTGATTGTTGTGTGAAACTTGGCGCTGCATACAAAATGAGCGAAAAGAATCAGGCCACAGGAGAAGGGAGGGAAGGAGGGGCGTATTAATTGATAAGGAAATACGGAACCACAATTGACAGACGACGAGAAGCGAAAGAAAACAAAGTTGAAATTTAATTGCATAGAAAATTGATGGGGGAAAATGGGGCAAAATCTCAAGAAAGTCGGCTTAATCAAGAACTAGGTCTGCACTCGAAGAGGTATGGAAATGATTATTTAGATATTTGCATACAGAGGCTGAGTTAGAGGCAGGTGCATAGCAAAGACACGAACCACTAGAAAGGGCTAAAGTGCAGTTGGAGAATGTCAATGTGCTGAGGCAGTAGAGAATGTCAATCGAGCTTCTCTGGAGATGAGATACATAATACAATAAGTAGATAAAGTAATTGTTTTAATAAGCAAATAATTAGCTAAAGAAGATAAGCTTATAAGTATGATAATTATGCAAGGCATTCGCATGCCAAGATCGTTAGCAAAGACACGAATCACATTTAAGTAAAAAAGAGATTGTCCGCAGCATTTTTGTTTCTTTGAAACAGATAATAAACAGATCTTGTTTAGAGATATGGCATATATGGGAAATACATGCATATCAGCCAGATATGGTATGCAAGAGGCATTTGCATATGACCTGACAGCTCAGAGCGAAGACACAAACCAGTGAAACATGCCTCTGCATTGTCTAGGAACATGTTAATTCTCTTAAATGTTTTGCAAACTCCGTATTAAAAGAGAGAGCTGAAATAGAGATATTTCGAAAGATGATAGGCAGATACAAATTTAGATTAAATGAATGGAATTGGGGCGTTCTTCGCGTTGCTGGTATGGCATGCATGAGCTCATGGCATGAGCAGCGCAATGCATAGCAAAGATACGAACCAGAAGGACTTAACAGGAATCGAAATGTTAATAATTTCCTTGCTAAGTGAATTGCCATAATTGAATGTATAATAAATAACGATATATTAAAAAGTAGAAGAATGATATATAAGAGAATTTTATTTTTTAAATAAATTATGTAGTAAAAATAAAACAAAACTAATAATAAAATTATATTAATAATATTTCCTTCAATATTTATAATTAA